TTCCCTGTACCCTCAGCTGATGGGACACCTTCCCTGTACCCTCAGCTAATGGGACACCTTCCATGTACCCTCAGCTGATGGGACCATTCACCTGTACCCTCAGCTGATGGGACCATTCACCTGTACCCTCAGCTAATGGGGCATCTTCCCTGTACCCTCAGCTGATGGGACCATTCCCTGTACCCTCAGCTGCCGCACAAATTCTTTCTTTAGTTGTAATACCATAGAGCAAAATGTATTTGTTCTTTAGTTGTGTTTAAACCCCATTCACATGTTTTAGAAAACAGATGTATGATATCATTTCAGGCTTCTATGAAATGTCCTTTCAGTCCATCATCCGAAGCCAAGTTTCATCCCATCACTAATGTAGTTAAAATGATTGAAACGCTGTTGAAGTGATTCAATTAAATGTATAGTTGGATTTATGTTGAGTGAAATGTTCTTGGTCCTTGTTTAAAATGTGAACAGGTTAGAAGAATTTATTGCTCACATAAGCCTTTTATGGATAAATATCGATATTTTAAGAATCCATTTTTCAAATGAACATCACAATTTCCTGTATCAATTTAATTAAATGTTGAAAATACTGCTTTCTGTTAAAATTATACATTGTAATGGCAGCTCTCTCCTTTCTCTTTTTCAGTGTATGAGGATATGATTTTGGCCATGAGTCGAGTCTGTGGTAAGTAAATGCCTTCGAGTTTTCAAGTCGTTTGCCCTTCAGCCCCTGTTTCCTGAGAGGATGCTCAGGGGCCAGTGCATATCCTGTGGCCGGCCCTGGAGTGCGAGGCAGGGCAGTCGCCTGCAGCTGGGCGACACCTTTCCTTAAAGGGCTTTTCAGTGTCATGTCCAGAGTCTGTGTTTTACTTTGAGAAACCCAGCGTGGACCCCGTTCAGTGGCTTCTTCTGGGTTGCCTTAGGTTAATTCGGATGCTCGCTTTGTGTGTAATTGCAATTATCAATGTTGAACAGCCATGATGAGCTTTTAAGCCTCTCCCTTGGGGTCATGTACATTAAACCACATGTGAGCTTTGCAAATAAATTCTCCCTCCCCATTTCCCCTTCCATGGAAACTGCGAGGACAAAGATATTAGTTATTAAATCAATAATAATAGCTTATAGTTGCATAGTGCTTTATACTAACAATTCTGTAATTTTAATTACCAGGGGCTCTGTAGTTTATAATACACTATCAGAGCAGGTAGCTAAGCCCTGAGCAGTCAGGTGGCTTAACTGTGGGTGTGCAGTGGCAGGACCCAGGACCTGCCCCGGGGTGAGCTTTCTCCCCACCCAGCCCTGTGTCACACAGTGTTTCGGCTCCGTTGTGAACAGCACTCCACGTTTACCTTCATTGCTTTCTCCAAACATCTCTGTAAGGAAGACTTTATTCCTTTCTGCTTTTGGCTTGAAGTGGCACATTTCACATGAGTTTTGCTCTTGGTGGTTATTAATGGGACAATTATTACTTCACGGATAAGCCAGCTACATTAAGCCCTCCAAAAAGTGACTTCACTCAGTTTTTGAAAAAAATTGTAATTATTTTTTAATAGATAAAATTTTAAAATAATTGGGTATATTTACAAGGTACGAGGTGATGTTTTGATCTGTAAGAACACTGTAAAAAGTTAATGAACATATCCATCACCTCACATACTTATTATTTTTTTCTTCTTTTCTGGTGAGAACTTCAAAAATCTATTCTTTTAGCAATTTTGAAATATATAACACAGTAGTATTATCTGTGGTCACCATGCAGTGCAATGGATCTACAACTTTCTCTTCCAAGGAGACGTTGCAACTTTGACCAACTCCCCCGCAGCCCCTGGTGGCCACCCTTCTACTCACTGTCTCGGAGTCTGACTATTTAGATCCCACATACCAGTATATGTCTTTCTGTATGTGGCTTATTTCACTTAACACATTGTCCTCCAGGTTCACTTGTTGACCCGAAAGGAAGATGTCCAAGCAAGATTAATACAAGAGTGTTTATTTGGGGCAAGATTAAGGACTGAATCCTGGGAGCCCTGAGTATACACTCCTGTTAGCAGTGGTTATGGGTGAAATAGAAAAGAAGGATAAGACGGCTAATACAAAGTTGTTTGTCAGGAATTCTCCAGGGCTTAGAGAAATAACTTTGATTTGCTATTGGCTACATAGGGTTAAGCTATAGGGCTAGGAGTTCTTAGGTGAATTTGTAGCTACTTGTGTCAACAGCAGCAGCTTTGAGAGGTGACTGTGTTGCTCTCAGAGGCAGTAGATGGAATTGAGTCTCATTTTAATATCTCTCTGGGCTGATAGTTTGAAAGGGTGCACATTCCTCAAATAAATGTACTTTTCTTTTCTCATTTCCTCCTTTTGATCAAAAATCTTTCTTCTTGAAAGCAAAGATGATCAAAATTTGGGAGTCAAAGTGTCGGTGGATAAGCTCATTTCTGGTTTGCCTTGCTGGAGTCATTGATCTATAGCTGCTGTTCCTTGTTGAATCATCTCTGTCTTTAGAGTATCATAAATTTAGTTTCTCAGAAGTAGAACAATGAGAGATATGTAGTAGAGATATAAGGCACATAAGGATTATAACGAAAGGGAAAATTTATATGCCAGGGAAAAACTCCTATTCCATTGGGGAGTCAACTAAAAACATCATGAAGAGAATTAAACCCAGGTTCTTCTTTAAAGACATGCTGTCGCCAGGAAGTAATTCAAGATTTAGTCCAAGTTGTAGGCAAATAATAAAACTCAGAAACAATGGCCAAGGCTGGCCCCAATAACAGGCATACTACAGATTTCTTCAAAAACATAAATTTTCTCTCTCTCTAATTCTCTCTTTATCAAAGATAAATATTAGCAGGACCAACTTATTTGCAAAATAAATTCCAATTTTATTATACTTGGCCCATTATTTACATAAAGTGCACGGGACATAGTGAGTGGTCACGCAGGTGCCTTCAAGCTGGCTTTGCTGGAGTTTTTACGGGGAGTGTCAGATTAGACTTTGAAAGCCTTGAGATCAGCCACGCCCAGGATTTGCCATCAGATTGTCTACAATACTGAGTGAATTCCTCTTTTCTCAAAGTCCTAAATAACCTCAAATCCCTGGGCCAGCCAGAATGTGACATTCTTCACTTATTGCAGGAAAGAAACCTTGAAAAGGGGGCAGCGTAGATGGTGCCCCAAGCCAGCCTTGCTTTTCACAGGCCCCACTAAGACCATGCCGGTTCCTCAAAGCTGTCTGCAGCAGCCATCCTGTGGGCCCACAGGATAGTTTGCTTCTTGTGTTCTGGGAGTCAAAGATACGCTTAGCTGTAAAGCAGATATGTCCTTATAAAGACAGTTATGTAGTTGGAACCCTTAACCTCCTCATCTACATAATAAGAGTCTTGGACTAGGTGACATCCAAATTCTCACCCAAACTAGAGATCCACAGTTCTGCAGGTGCAAATGGACACACTGTTAAAAACACACACCTAAGCAACACACTCACCTCTATGGGCATGGGCGCAGGTGCACCCCCGCACCTGTGCACGCACCTCTACAGCTTCTGGGCCTTTCAGACCTGACTCTTGACTCGTAAAAAGCAGAATGGAAGAGTCAAACCAGGAGTCTAGCTTTAGGCATTGGCATTAACTGTACTCAACAAAATGCATCTAGGGAGCTATGCATTCCTTCACTCATTCATTTCTTTATTTTTTTAATTGTGGTAAAATACACAGAACATAAACTTTGCTATCTTAACCATGTTTAAGTGTGCAGTTCAGTAGTGTTGAATGAGTTCACACTATGCACCACCCCCCCACTCCCCTGCTCCCCCCACCCCCACTCCCCTGCTTCCCCCACTCCCCCCCATTCCCACCCACCCCCATCCATCTCTGGAAATCCTTCTTCTTGTCAGACTGAAACTCTGTTTCCACTAGCCCCTCTCTCCTCATTCCCCTGCCCCCTGGCAACCACTATTTTATTTATTTTACTTTTTATGAACTTTAATACTCTGGGCACCGCATACGTAGTATAAGTGGAATCATACAGTATTTGTCATTTTGTGATTGGCTTGTTTCCCTGAGCACGGGGTCCTCAAGGCTCATCCACTTGGCAGCGTGTGCCAGGATTTCCTTCTGTTTTGAGGCTAATATTTCATTGCAGGCGAACACCACATTTTATTGATCTGTTTGTCTGTGGAAGAAATGTGGGGTTTCTCCCATGATTTAGCTATCATGGACTCTGCTGTTATGAATATGGCTATATAAATATCTCTCTAAGATTTTGCTTTCAGTTCCTCTGGATATATATCCAGGGTAGAATGTGTGTCATGCAGTAGTTTTATTTAAAATTTGAGGAGCTGCTACCCTGTTTCCTCCTCAGCCTGCAGCATTTTGCATTCCCACCAACAGTGCACAAGCTGTCTGGGCGTCTCCATGTCCTCACCAACACTTGTTATTGTCTATTGGGGACAGGAGCTGCCCTAAAGGCTGTGAGATGAGGTCTCACTGGTTTTGATGTGTGCTTCTGTAAAGATTAGGGATGTCAAGCATCTGTTTATGTGCGGTTGCCCATTTGTGCATCTTCTTTGGAGAAATGTCCACCCAAGTCCTTCACCCACTTTTAATCAGGTTATTTTTTTGTTGTTGAGTTTTATGTGTGTTCTCTTTATATGCTGGGTATGAATCCCTTCTTGGATACATGATTTGCAAATGTTTTCTCTCATTCTCTGAGTTGCCTTTATCTTTGCAGGATCTCAATAGAGCCTACACTAAATTTCTGTGTGAGAAATTTTGTCACGGAATAGTTGCATATTTGTTCCAGTTCATTCAGTTACCTAGTAGCAAAATGGGTGGACTGACCCCAGTCCACTGGGGGCCTGAGATCCGGAGTCTAGTGTTCTTTCTAAAATACTTCAGAACTAGCCCTTCATTGCAGGATGTTTATTTCTGAGATGTCACCCACACAATTCTTTGACCTTGGTAATCATTCAATTTTATGAAAATATCTAAAGTGTACTGTAGAGAAGACCAAGCTTGAGGAATATATCTTGTTATTTAATATTTATAGAATTATAAAATATCTAATCAAATCACTTAAAAAGTCAGTTGGCAAAATAGGAATGTGAATGGCAGAATTTTCTGTTGATGTGGCTGGCATCTTGACTGGATTAAATGTCTGCCTGGCTACATTCTGTATAGTAGAAATGTGATGCGGCTGGAGCCTTCAGAACTCTGCCTTAATAGTGATGTTGTTGGTATAAGATCAGAAACCAGGAACGTAACGTGCAAGTGAATGTTTGGCCCGGTCAGTCTCATTTTTGGAACTGAGCACTCATAATCTGATTACTTAGAACACAGGCCCAGAGCCCTCTCTTCTCCATGGGAGGCAAAGTTAATTACCCATTGATTTTCTAGCTGTGAAGACACGTCTGGGCCTGAGGGGTGTGTTCCAACTTAGCAGGCAGGGCCTGATGAGGACCAGCGTTCAGGGACGCTGCCAGCCAGATCCTGGCATTTGGGGGGAGAAATTCTCCTGAGTGGCTCTTGCTCTAGGGCTGTTGTCTCATGGGTGTTACCGCCTGTCCTCTGGGCTTTGATGGAAACTTCCTGGGCTCTCAATCATTTATTGATTTGAGTTGTAGTCTGAGAGAAGACTCTGAACTTGCCACCCTTTGGCCTTCTTGGAGATGACATGACATCTGTCCCTCTGTGCCCGAGGCTGCCGCGTGTGCTGACCTCTGTGGCTCTGTGCAGGGGCAGCTCAGGGTCACTTCCTTTTTAATACACGCCATGAAACTGCAGGGAGAAACGGGGGGAGGGGGCTCCAAAAATCATTTACGTCCTTTCCCCACAGACTTTCAATTATGGTCTCAATCTCTAGCAAATTCAGTCTTTTCAACAGCCCTGTGTTTTCAGTTTACAATTTTCTCCAGTCCCCATCTCTTCCTCTTGGTCCTCCTCTGTCCATGAAGGTGAACAGTGCTGGGGCTGGTGGGATGGGTGTTTCCTTCCCCTGAACCTCCAGGCACCTGCAGCCAAGAGCCCTCCACTGTCTGCTCTCCTGGTTCCCCTGCTCAGCTTCTGTGGAGGGATTTTTACTTACTTTTTTTTTTTTTTTTTGGTATGTCCTTTCTTACTTCATGTGCATTTAAGAATAAATGGAAAATAAAGAACATCACAATCATGACTATTTTTATTTAAGTTTATGTTTCTTTACATAGTTGGAGTCATAAGTGGTTTGTATCTTATTTTTCCCCCACACGTTTTATAATAATTTTGTTTTATATAGATTTTATGTCTGTTTTTTCTAATAATTGCTTAATATTTCAAGGAATTATATCACCATGGCTTAAACCCTTGTCTATGGGATATTAACTATTTTTTAGTATAAATAACTGTATGAGGTACATATTTGGGCAAGAAGAGGCTTTTTAAATGTTTAGAAATATTTCCTTTGAGTGAAACTCTAGAATTAGAATTACTAGGTAGAATACTGTCAATATTTTTAAGATTCATAATTGAAATTTCAAGTTGCTTACCCAGATTAGGAGATACTGTTCAAAGAGCCTCTTTGCCAGAACATCCTATCAACAGTTTGCAATCATATAATTCTCCTTTATCTTTGCTATGATATAATATAATTTTCTGGATCAGGAAACACCATAAGCTCGTGTAAGTTCTCTATGTGGCGTATCTAATGACAGACTCCTTGAGACGCAGAGCTTCCCACAGTGATGTCAGCTTCCTAACCTTCTCCTGTCTGGTTGCTCACCCCCACCAAATAGATTGGGGCAGACCACTCCTCTATCCCAATCAAACCCATCAAATCAGCCTAAATTTGTATTCCAAATGCACGAAGTGTATTTCCATTCCTCACGTTATCTGATTGCCTGCAGTTTCTGCCTTCTTTCCTCTGACCCAGTTTTTACTGGCCTTGAATGACCAGCCCTGTCTATCTCCTTGACCCCTAAGCTGGGACATGTCTGTTAACTCACCATCTCTTCTTGCTGATTTTCTTCAATACAATCCAATAAGATCTGGATCAACTCAAGTAGCATTTGCCACACTACGTTGTTGTTTATACCACTCTGTCTCCTCTTAAGGTAAAGTGATAAGGGGCAGAAGGTGGTTTTCCTTTTTAACAATGTGTGTGTCTTGCAGTATTCTGCAAAGACCTTTTCAAATAATTCTACCACAGAAAATGCCTGTTTCATGAAGGCTACAGTGTGGTAATGCAGTGTCAGAGTTTGTGGCCGACGGTAACTCAGACAGGTGGGGAGCACGTTTGCAGATGGAGGCTCCACACCGGCCTGGGTACGTGTGACACGACTATATGCTGTGATTTCAGGAACGTCTGCTTCTCCACTGAAGATACTCTGCACGCCAGACGGAATCAGACTCCAGTGTTTCATGAAGTATTTTATGGAAGAAATGAAAGTGAACTGGTATCACAAGTAAGTATGATCAGTGCCAGGGGCGGTGGCTGCGCCCTGAACGGGGCTGCCCAGGGAGGGACGTGGAGCACCCAGGCAGGCGTCAGGGCACTGCTGTTCCTTCAGAACATTATAATTTTAAGCAGTTATGATCACCTTTGGCTCCGCACAGGATGCCATCCTGGCAGTGAGGAGGACTTGTGGCAGTGTGGAGGATTTGAAAGAGGGAGAAGCTGAAAGAAATGCCCCAAAGTGTATGAGACAAATTCCTCCAGTGTCTCGAGTTTGCAAAGGTGGCTCTACTCCTTATGCACGTTTTGTCCGCAGCCAGCAGAGAGCCAAGGTGGAAATAATATTTCAAAACCAGGCTCTCAGCTTCCCATCTATTGGTCTCCTACTTGACTTGATTAAAAGAAAGAGGACCAAATCAAACCCAATCATTAGAATTAAAAAAGAAAGAGAAGATAAGCCTGTGCAAATGGCAGGTCTTCCTGGATTTCATGCCCTGGGTGGGGAGTGGTCAGTGGAATGGCTGGGACTGCTCCTGTGAGTCACTGCACAGGCCTTGGGGGCTGGCTCTGTGCCCACACCACAGGCTGACAACTGACACAACCAGCCAGACAGCCCCTGAGTTGGGGAGTCCCTGGAGACAAGAGTCTGTCAGGATCACCATCCCGTTAGGACAGCCACAGATATATGTAGACTGGGGTGGGAGAGGGTCCATCTGCCGCAGCTCCAAATGCCGACTGAGAACGTGAGGCCAATGCTTCAGGCCAAATTTTCAGTGGCGTCAACAGCGCCAACCCAGTTGTCCTGCACTGAGTTCCTTAATCAAGGAGCCTCGCCCCACAGCACCTGCAGCACGCCTTCAGGTATTACATTTAACTAATACTTCAAAAGGGCAAACTCTGCAGTTCTTTTTATTTTCAAAAGCATTGTTTTACTTGGCTGGATCTATTTATGAGTTAACTGAAGTACTAAAGGGATACATATTCTTGGAAAGTTTTGTCCAGTTCAGATTTTAACCTCCTGTGCTTTTATTTATTCTAGGATGTTCAGCTTAGAAACATAAAGTAAGATATATTAGATTTTTCATAAATCTGTGTTTTCAGTCTTACATTTCTGTATTTTTGATAGTGTGGTATTTACTATCAGGTGGAGTTACTATACATCCTATGATCAGGGTTTTGTTAGGAACATATATTAAAGGCAGGGTCTTTTTTAAAAAATAAAGGATTACAATGACAAGAACCCCAAAGACTGAAACTCTGGAGTATTTTGTGATATAATTGTTTATAAGGATTTATTTTTCTAAGGCTATGAGTAAATTTGTGTTTCCAGCTGAATCAAATCTTTTCTTGGAAAAGGAGAATCAATGAACACTTTCTCTGTGCTTCCCTGCTATTTATGGCCGGTTGTCCTGTTGTATACAGCTATATTTGTATACAGCTATATTGTTGTATAGTTGTATACAGCTATATTTGTTTCCCATATTTCATCGTAGACGTGTCTGTCTTTAGGGGAGGCTCAGAGTGAGGGCATGCTCTGTGCTGGTCTGGGGGAGCAGAGTTGAACTCACACCCCCGCACCTGCCTGAACACACTGGCACGAGTGTCACCCAGTGTTAGCAAGCAGGCCCTCGTGTTAAACACTTAACACACGGGATTTCATTCAGCCTCACCAATGCCCCGGGAGTTAGGTATTAATGCCCACGTTTTATAGGTGTGGAAACTGAGGTTTAGGAAGAGAGATGTAAGCCACTTTGTCCACTCACATGACTAGTAAATGACAGAGTGGGCACTTGACCAATAGCTGACCTGATTCTAATCACCTCCGTCCGGCTTGTCATGGACCTAAGAGAGGGTATTGATAGACGACAGACAGGCACCCAGAGCATGAATCCAACTCATCAGTAACAGACAATCAGATATAAAAAGTCAATATAAATCTCTCTAAATGTAGAATATAAATGTTTTAACACAATAACTAAGAGAAAGACACGAAGGCTATGTTAACCAGTTGGATGAAAGTATTTCAAATTGTATATAGGAACAGTACACGGTATCCCATGATAGTATTGATGTACACTGCTATGATTTAATAAAAAAAAAGTCAAAAAGAGGAGGCAAGGTGCTGCTGTTGTAAATCCCATAGATTCAGAAAAGAGGCATTATTTTTGTTTTCTCTTTCCCAAACAAAATTCATCATACAACATAACAGACATTTCTTTAGCAATTTTATAACTAAAATATAACTTTTATACTTCCTATGGATAAAGGAAATAAAAGCATATAACTCTTAATCATAGTTTCATATTTGACTATTAAACAATATTGAATAATTATGTAGACTATATATTAAACTATATTGTACAGTCATATTCTATAGCTAAACTATGATATCTAGTTATAATTCACTATTTGACAATTAAATGATCTCTCACCTGATAGCTATTGGAAAAATAGAGAATAATATAAAAATCTGTTGAAATATAATTTAGCCTTTTGAGGCTAAATGAGCCACTTCAGAAAATCTGTGTTGCCAGGGAATAGGTGTGCAGCGGCTGCAGCCTCATGGCGTGGACCCTGGAATATTTTGCTTTTATGGGTGACATTGAATCAATAGAGTGCAATGAGGATCTTGTGAAATGCAAGCGTAAGCAAAGACGATTGTTCTTTGGTTGGAAATGCTGAGAAATATATCAAGGAATGTAGAAAATGCCACTGTAAAGGGAGGGTTGGGAACCCAGTCAACATGAGTTAGAGCAGGCAAAGAGGGACTCAGCAAAAATGTTCCTCAGAAAAAGGATTCTGTTCTCTTCCTCAAAGGTGAAATTAATATATTATCTAGACATGGCTAGACCTCAAATTGCTAAAGTATTGACCACTTAAGTCTCAGAAGTATCTCAGAAACTAAAGAAAATTTCCCAGTGTCTGCATAGAGAGAAAAAAATAGTGTGATTTAACCTCAGAATGTATATTTTAATTAAGGTGACCCAGATGTCCTGCTTTTGGTGGGACAGTCCCGATTTTTGACAATTTGTCCCATGTCCTGTGGCGTTTTAAAAAAGTCCTGATTTTTGGAAAGAATGCATGACAAGCTAGGGAAGGATGGGAGAATGGGAAGGGAATATACGGCTGCTGAAAAGGTTAATGTAACTTCATTTGGAAATGAAAAGGCTAATGTAAGCTCCCTACTCCCCTCCTGGGCAAGGTCACTCCGGTAGAATCAGTATCAGAAGGATACTGGCTCCCTCCCTCGTTTCTAGGCAAGGACAATTAGCTCAGAAGGAACTAAACTGTCTGGAACAAACAAGTAGCCCCCCTGCCTCTAGAGGGTCCTTAACCATGAACAGCTCAGCCAATAGCCCCCCGCCGCTCCATCAATGATGTCCTGCTTTACCAATGTTAAAATCTAGTCACCTTAATTTTAATACAACTCAGGATATTTCACATGTAAAGTTTGACTATGCAGATGCTCCCCTAAAAGCTCTGTGAACCCTGAAATTAATGGGGAGGAGCAGAGATGCCTGCCCAGTGCCTTGGACACCCTCCCAGGCTCTTCTCCCCTTAGTGAGGAGAGGAGGGGTCCTCCACAAGGTGGGGTCCCACGGGCCCTGGCTTGCCTCTGGGCTCCTGCCTTTAGACAGCCCACAAGGGTGGGACACTCCAGTTTTGTCCAGTTGCCTCTCAGAAAGCACAGACATTCCAAATTCCCTTCCTGTGTTCTGGTTTTCAGTATTATGGAAGCTGAAGCCAAAGGTTCTAGATCCACTAAGTTCCCCTTGGCTGTGCCATTTTGTGGGGCTCTTCTTGCTGGAGGTCAGAATTACTCAGCACTGTCTTTTCCAGCCTAGGTGTAAACATTTTCTAGCTTTTGAATATTTCCCCTTTTATCTGCCTATTTCCCTTCAAATGGAGAGGTGGAATCTAGATGGTAGTCACGTGGGCACCTGCTTTCAGTTCTTCTGGGTCTATTCTCAGAAGTGCAACTGCTAGGTCATATAGTAGTTCTGTTTTCATGTTTTTGAGGAATTACCATACTGCATACAGTACGTTAAAGTCAATTATGTTGTGACAAGTATATAATTCATAATAATATATCTTTGAAAATCAAGCATCATTTAGTTTTAGGTTTTTAGATCTGAGTTACAGATGTAGTTAACCAATTTGTTAACAGCCAGAAAACACTGCTGTGCTGTCAGTATCAGCCGGTTAGAAAAGGCTTCCTGCCCAAATGCCTGCGATGCTGCCCATCGGCACAGTGCGAGGAGCTCAGGGACCCTAACTTGGATGTGTCCTGTTACCTTTTAAAAGGGATGCTAAGATTCCATCGAGCGACCACATGCGGATCGGAGGCAGTGAGGAGATGGCCTGGCTGCAGATCTGTGAGCCCACGGAGAAGGATAAAGGCAAATACACCTTCGAGATCTTTGATGGCAAAAACAACCACCAACGCTCACTTGACCTGTCTGGACAAGGTAGAGTCACTATTTTAGCATTGAATGATCTCATATGTAGAGATCCGTTTAGACGCTAAAGGGGACGGCATCTATTAGGAAACAATCTGGTTTTATGGCTTTCATTCTGAGAAAACAACTTCTGAAAAATCAGTTTATCCATTTGCCTATTTGTCAGTTTTCACTAACCAGATTCCCTGGTAGACTGAGTGAATAAATAAAAGCTAAACGTTGAAGTTAATAACATCTGAAATATTTCCTTACAGCCTTTGATGAAGCATTTGCAGAATTCCAGCAACTCAAGTAAGATTTGCATCTTTGGTTATCCTTTTATCCTGCAAGGGTCCTGTTCACCCCATGCCATTTTGGCCACATGTGGGAATCTGTGTAGGCGCCTTGGTGACCCAGAGAACCTATTGTGCTTGGGATAAAGATGACAGTTTAAGCAATTCTGCATTACAAGGGCAGGCACTCTCCAAACCTAGAAATGGATTTATGAATTAACTCTCTGCAGTCGTAACAACCCAGGATTATTTTAAATGACTTTAATGTAGACTTTCTGAAATCATTATAATCTTGGCAGCACATCCTACAGAACAATTTTTTGAAGAATAATTTGGGATTGTTAAATGTGTGTTTGAGTTTTAGCATATCCAAAATTGAAAACAGCATCTGGCCCTTGCTAGGTTAATTGATAAGTATTTGTTGATTAGGTACTGGGACAAATTGGATAATTTAGAAATAGTTTCAAAAATATCTAAAAGCTTCCAATGCAATCTGGTGAATTTGGTGAACTAAATAAATCTCTTCAACCTACGCGTTTTAATGCTAACCTTGTCTGTGGGTTTAAATATCTGATCTCAGGACATTTCCACCTCAGAATGGGCAGCCATCACCCATTGGATCCTGTGATCTGAACGTGTTCTTTTAGGTCCTAGAATCTAGAATCTCCTAGAATCTCCTAGAATCTTCTAGAATCTAGGAGAAAGTCAACATATTTCCTTCCTTCCTTTGCTCTCATCAGTGGTGACCTCTGGAATGTATGGTGCATTTTTGTTGGAAGCAGTTTTTTAACACTCCTTTTATTTTCTCCTCTCCATTCCTTTTAATTTCTAGGGCCGCTGCTTTTGCAGAGAAGAGTAAGTACATGATGGATTCTAATAAGGAGGATGCATTGTTTGGGGGAGGGCACAGGGTCCATATTTTAGAGTACTGATTTTACATGTTAAGTAATTGCCAGCAAACCTTCTTGCTCTCACTGGACACCTCTGGAGCCTGCTCCTGCCCTGCAGGGGTGTGTCCTGCCCTCCTGGCCCCACCACCCTCCCAGTGTTGGCCCCACCAGCCCCCGTTGCCCTGGGGTAATCAGCTGTCTTAGGGCCCAGACCCTCTTTCCTTCCTGCCTGGCCAGGGCCTCAGGGGCTTCCCCAGCTGTAGTCCTGCCCAGAGGTCAGCTCTCAGCCACAGGACCCATGGTGGCCTCCCTGTGGTCATCTCTCTTTTCCTCTGGCCCCTCCGGGACAGTGTGAGCCCTGCCAGCCTTCTCCTCTGTCCCCAGGGGGTTGTTTTCTTACCTGAGTCCCTTTCTTTGCAGATCGTGGCAGGGTGGTTGGTGGTCTGCCTGACGTGGTGACCATAATGGAAGGAAAGGTAAGAGGACGCAGTGGGGTTCAGAGCCAGGATGGGCGGGCATTTCAGCACCGTGTGATGCAGCCCTCATCTTGGGGCCTGGAAAGGGAGAGCTGGGGAGGTGCCCTATGTCCTTGCTCAGCCTGGAGGGGTTCAGACTTCCCACCCCCTCCTGCCTGTCCCTCTGATGACTGACCCCTGTTTTGTAAAAGGACAGAATAGCCAAATATTCTGAATCCTAGAAAGTGCCTCTGAGACCCCAGGAGCTCCTGAGGGGCTGGTGCACCTCCCAGTAGGTGAGGTGGTGGTGGCCGTGGTTGTGTCCACGCCCTCGGGTGCACCAGCACCTGGCTCACCTGGCCTGTGGCCACTGTTCAGAGGTGCCACCGTAGGAGGAGGGGGGCAGCCATGCTCTCCTGGCTTCCAACCTGGAAGCTTTTATAAAGCTTTTATAAAATGAATGAAAAAATCTCAGCTCTAATTCTCAAGGTCATTTCGGAATATGTAATGGAGGACCACTCATTGGAGTTCTAATTTGTTGCCTGTCAGTAGAATTATCGATATCTAATTGGTGCTTCTCTGGTTGGTTCAGTGATTCTAACTCAATGTCACGGAGACATAGATACTGGAGAGAACTCTATTAGGCCAAAATACAAAAATTTATAGACCTCTTCTTTAGCAGCTGAAGAGAGCCTGGAGAGGTCTGAGGCGGAATGTGGTGTCTCCCCATAAAGCTGTAATTGAGGAATTAGCAGGCCTTTTACTTTATCACATGCTGAAAGCGTGTTTTCACTATGAGTCAAGAATGCATTTGCTGTAGCCAATTTGCTAGTCATCAGACAATATATTCTCTGGATTTGCCAGAGGAGCTGGTAAAAGGGATCCATAAGTCTAAATATTAAGGAAATTTAGAAACAAACTAAGCTAAATATATCTACTGTAGAATGTAGAGCTTAATTACCTTCAACTTCTTTAATCAACTTAGGTTGTGTCTTAAAACTGAGAATGAGTAGGACAGATGACTGATTTTTCTCACGAGTGCCCCCAGCAGGCTGTGCACCTCTTCCCACCCGGTGTCCCTCAGCCCCTGGAGTCTGGGCGGTGTCGCCATAGGTGACAGTCTTGCCGACTGAGTGGACGACACGTGTCACCGTGTGTGGCTCAGGGTGTGCCGTCCAGGAGGGGAACACGACTTTCCCTTTGCTCACTTTTCTTTCCCTACCCACCTTTCCCCTGCAGACCCTGAACCTGACCTGCACGGTGTTTGGAAATCCTGACCCTGAGGTGGTTTGGTTCAAGAACGACAAGGACATGGAGCTGAGTGACCACTTCTCCGTGAAGGTGGAGCAGGCCAAGTATGTCAGCATGACCATCAAAGGTGTGACCTCCGAGGACTCGGGCAAGTACAGCATGAGTGTTAAGAACAAGTACGGAGGGGAGAAGATCGACGTCACTGTCAGCGTGTACAAGCATGGGGAGAAGATCCCGGAGGTGGCCCTGCCCCAGCAGGCCAAGCCCAAGCTCATCCCAGCATCTGCCTCATCTCCAACCGAATAAAGGAGGTCTCTCCAGCCAGGAGATAGAAAGGAAAATGCTTGGAAGTCACAGGAATGCTGTGTGCTTGTTCCGAATGAGTGGCCTGGTGTGTGGGCAGATCGTTGATTAGATCCTATGCTTCTGGGGTTAGTATCTTGTATGTGTTAAGGGGGAAAGCTGATGTTTTCCGGGAGGCAGAATGACTTACAGGAGAGTAAACTGCAGACACTGGCCAATGTCTCCACCACAATGGACGTGACACCCAGACCTGCTTAGCATGTGGCTGTCTGTGGGAGGCCACTGTCCGTGGTGCCATTGGCTCTTTAGGGGCTGTGAGATCCAGCGACCCTGAGGTTTTGGTTGTGGAGCCTCTGACGCGTGTGTTACACTCTGTACTCCCTTGCTCTAGGACAATAAAGCTTTCAAGTCACCTGTGGTTTTCCTACATGGAATCACGCCTCCCCGCATTGGCTTACCCTGCTGGCTTGTTTGTGGGTTCTTGTGCAGCCTGGAGAGTTGCACCTGTTGAGCTTGTTCTTACATCCAGGATACCACGGTTGTCAGAAGTGTGAGTTCTGTGTAAGAATAAGGAGGATTGTTACCTGGTGATTGTATTGGGGATCTAAAAATCCAAAACAATGCATAGACGGCCTCTTTCCTGCTTAGTGTGCCACATGGAAAGAGTTCTGAAAGAAAGAAGACCCTCGTTGGAAATGATCACTTCCGTAGACTCACGGAGGAAAAAAAAAACTCGGCTGAATAGAAGGTCTCCCGGTGCTGTTAAAAAAATGTTTAGGATAAACATTCCTCTCTTTGAACTTCTCCTTCTTTGGGAAAGAGGCTGAACTTCCTCTGGCATAAAATCCTATTTCGATATTTAGCTTTGTAGTTGCTTATAACAGAAGCGGCATTGACAATCGAGACTATTTTATCTATGTCATTAAGGCCAGTCCAAATTTTGTAATGTTTTGTTTTATTTTCCTTAGGTGATAGTACAAAAATCCTGAAATTTAAATACGTCCCTAATAACACTAAGCCAGCCAGGCAGGTTTGGATAGCAGTAAAGTGTCAGTAAGAATTTTATTTTTATTATTTTTCTCTTCTCTGCTGTACGGGTGAACTTTAGCTGGGTGTGTTATTGCCGAGTAGTGGAGAAGCATTTCCAAAAACATCCCTGGCAGGGAGAGGCAGGCTGACGTTTTTATGTTTGACCTTTATTTACTGAAGCAGCCTTTGGAATTTCTCGGTTTAGTCATTTTTATTCAGCAGCTCTGGGTCACAGGAAAGGATTAAAATGATTGTGAATTTCCCAAAGCCATGTAATATTTTTTAAATAGACTTTTATTTAGAGCAGTTTTAGATTAAAAGCACAATTGAGTGAAAGGTAGAGCCCTCCACGTCCTCCCTGCTCTGTCCCCGGCACAGCCCTTCAGTGCCGACACCACCCCAGAGTGTTTGTTATGACTGATGGGGACACGTGGACAGGTCAGCAGCAGGGTCCACAGTCGGCACTGGGGGGGATTCTCCAGGGTCCATGGTCGGCACTGGGGGGCATGCCTGGTGTTGAGCGTTCTGGGGTCTGGACTAGTGTCCAGTGCTGTGTCCTTCACTGCAGTGTCCCACAGAGCGGCATCTTTGTCCCCTAACCCTTGGCAAACTCTGACCATTTCATTCTTGTTACAGTTTTCATTTATAGAGTTTTTTAAATAAAGGGTGTTTTCCCTTTGAATAATTGTCAATACACAGAGAAGCTGTGAGACAGTGCAGAGAGCACCCACCTGAGCCCTGTGCTGTTTTCCTCAGTCGAGTGTCTCATTTCTGGCACATTCTGAGGTGCCTGTGGTGGAACGTCACCACGACCTCAACTCCAGACAGTTGTCCGCAGTGTTCTCGCTCCGTCCTGAAGGCTATGGGACATCACCTGCATCTAGCTGTCACCTCTCCCCGGGACGGGCCTGCCACAGTCCTTGTTTTCTTTGCTTTCAGCACTCAAGGGTTTTGAGGATCATGCTGGGGTGTCCTGTGGGTGTCGCCAGTGCAGGTTTGCCTGAAGTTTCTTGCCATGATTAGATGGGGGCTTCCATGCTCTGGGGCAGAAGAGGCCCCTGACATCACTGGTGGTGTCTCCTGTGTCCCTCGCTCAGGCTTGTCTGCCTGGTCTCAGCGAGGTAAAGTTACTGCTTCTCCCTCTTACCTGTTTCTCAGAAGCCAGTCTCAGCCCCAGCTGCCCTGAGAGGACAGGGGTGGGAAGGGGGAACAGGTCCCTCCCTCGCCCTGGAGGAGGGAGTATCTAACATATCGTCCATGATACTGCAAGAAAGGCTTGCCTCTCCCCAACTCATGCACTGGTGCACTCAGGGATCTACTCACGGGGATGCACAGGCCCTACCCCACACTCTTCATAGGGACTCACACTCCCTATCCCACACTCTTCCAAGGGACTAACACTCCCTACCCCACACTCTTCATGGGGACTCACACTCCCTACCCACACTCTTCATGGGGACTCACACTCCCTACCCCACACTCTTCATGGGGACTCACACTCCCTACCCACACTCTTTACGGGGACTCACACTCCCTACCCAACACTCTTCACGGGGACTCACACTCCCTACCCACGCTCTTCACGGGGACTCACACTCCCTACCCACGCTCTTCACGGGGACTAACACTCCCTACCCCACACTCTTCACGGGGACTCACACTCCCTACTCACACTCTTCACGGGGACTCACACTCCCTACCCACACTCTTCACGGGGACTCACACTCCCTACCCACACTCTTCAC